TTTTTAAAGCTATACAAAACAGAATGGCGACATCCCACCATTACTATCCATCTAATCGCGCTAGAGCCCAATTCGAGAGTTGGCCTCCTCAATTTTCCTCTTCCATCCATCTCTGTCTTCTAATGCTCTCTTCCAATTTGCAACTCTTAACATGTTCCTAGCATTCTTCCGCGCCTCATCCTCTGGGTTTTCCAACCAATCACCTACCTCCAGGTTGTCCTTGAACATGCCCTTCCTATATTTACCATTTGAGCTTTATATACACTGTTGGAAATATTTCGAACAGTAAATAATATTTGCGGAGCATAAAGGTTTACTGGAATGGTCTGAGCTAGGACATACATACCTTCAGCAGCGATCGGGACGGCCCCGCGAGCTCCCTTGTGCTCAGCGCTTGGAGCTGTTTGGCCAGCGGGAAGAGAATGCACTCACTACACGAACTGTACGGCGGCGTTTAATAAACAGTGGACTGCGCGTGCGTCGTGCGATATAGCGGATTGCAGAAGAACGTTGAAGTCGGAGACTTTAGAGACGAGTTGAGGCGGCATGGTTGCCCATCCTTCCCGCTACACCACAGCGATTTATCGACTCCATGCCACGTCGTGTAGCGATGGTACGCGACGCTAACGGGGGATACTCTCGCTATTGATGCATCCCCTCCCAGCAGGGTTGTGCTGCTCTCCATATGAGGATGAGATATACTACCTTAGTACTACTTCCATACCAAATTTCATTGCGCTAGACACACGCGTTCAGATTATACAGGGTGTGCTCGTGAATTATTTCCAACAGTGTATATTGTGAGAGTCGTGGATATCTCATATAGTTAGTACAGATCTCATATAGTCTGGATTCCAGACTCTATGCGTTTCTTTGTGTAAGTGTGTACGTGTACATGTACATTATAATAATTTTGGTTTTTCTGTGAATGTCTCTGCACTAGGAGTCTTTTTTTCTCATTGACTTCCAGGTCTATTCCCGCAGCTACGCCATCAAGATCCCTGAAGGACTCATCTATATCTGTTACCTGTCTTGCTAGTATATTGATGTCGTCTGTATATCCGATGATTTGTTTTGAGCGGCTTAACAACGTCGATTCTGTGTCCAGACTGATTTTTCTTATTACCCTTTCCCGAACCAGATTAAAGATTTTTCCGAACAATCTTCGTTTACTTGATATGTTAATCTATTTTATACTTATCATTCTAATCAACTTTGATGGCCTAACAGTATTGATTGTAGTTTACCTCTGTCTATGTTACCGTAAGCTTTTTTGAAGTCGATGTGTAATTGGAATATGTCAATGTCGTATTCTCAAAGTTGCTCGTTTATCGCAGTTAACAATAAAACTCAGTTTAATGGAACAAAAATTGTTCATGATATCGATTCGGTCAAGTTGCAATTTTTTGCGTTTAAGTTTTAAGTACCGAAAAAACAAAGATAAATTCAATATATCATTAATCTGCGCCATACATTAGTTTTCCAGATTCTTATCCTCTCCCTATATTTCCTTCCTTAGAGATTTTTCATTGATTTTCGTCACAATGAATTTTTCCGCATTCCATACATTATAAGTGTTTTGGTCGCTACTAATTCATTCTTATAAATGCCAATGGAGATGTTTAGTACTAGTGCTTCACTAGTATTAGGAACCAACGCCCAAACGATGGTATTGAATGATCACTATTATTTTGAGAGTATTCGCCTACACACATCGTGAAAAGATCGTCACTACTCATGTCTTCATATACTAATTTAATGGCTTCGATTACTTGAAGATTGAGAGCTGTATAAGAAAAATATTTGATACTATTGGAAACGCGCGTTGATACGCGTATATTAAGGTACTCTAAATAAGACTTAGCACCATTACTGACTAATAACAACAAGTGCAAAAATAATTCCATCATTTCACAGAGCACCTTTCACGCACTATGACTCACATAACATTTATAAACCACAAAACTGACAATTTAAAACAATTAAATTTTCGCTCCATTGGATACTTGAGAAGACTTAATATAACAAGTAATGAAATTTGCATAAATATAAATCGGATAAAATTAACACTATTTTTATAACAGCTAAAAATATTAAATAAAAGATCAAAATAAATGAAAATGTTTATTGAAATTAATAATAATTTTTTTTTGAATGTATTTGGTATAACTACTGATCGGCAGTTCGACCAGGGCATGTCTTAAAGTGATGATTTAAAGCTGTTCGGGAAATATATCCATCTTTACAAATATGACAAATATAAGGCCGTTCTCCAGTATGTCCTCTTACGTGTATTTTAAGTGGAGCGGGCTGATTGAAACATTTTCCGCAATATTCGCAACTAAATGGTTTTTCTCCGGAATGAATCCTTTCGTGCATTACGAGATATTCTCTTTTAGTAAAGTTTTTGGGACAATAAGAACACGAATACGGTTTGTCACCAGTATGCATACGATAATGACCTTCAAGTTTTTCTTTTCCAGTAAAAGCTTTTCCGCATACATCACACAAATGTGTTCTCCCTCCATTCATAGCTATTTTCTCATGGTTTATGAGATGTTTAGTTAAGGAAGCAGCTTTCGAAAATGTTCTTTTGCAAATGTGACATTGATTTGGTAATGATATACCGTCTATAGTTACTTTATGATATCTTTGTTGATGAGTTAATAAATATCTTGAATACAGAAATATTTTGTTGCAAACTATACAAACAAAAGGTTTAGCTCCTTCGTGGCTGTTTTCATGCTCTCTGTGTTTAACTCTATCGTCGGTGCCTTTTCCACAAAACTTGCAATAATACATGAAGTTTTTTAAGTGCATGTTATTAATGTGTGTTAATATAGCGGTTCTTCGAAGAGTTTTATAGTCGCAAAAAGTGCAATGAAAATATTCTGATCCATGAAATCTCATATGGACAGAATATTTGTAAGCACTTTGAAATACATTCCCACAGTGTTCGCAAGTGTATGATTCATCATGGGAGACTACATGTTGGTCCATTTCTTCTTGGGTTTTACTATTTTTATCGCATATATTGCAAAAGTATAAATTTTCCACTTGACTATAAATATATTTGGACCATAAACCTTGTCCGACTTTCGAATGTGCTTCTTTTCTATGCGCTTTGAGGGATCTAATTGTAGTGAATGAATCATCGCATTTTCTGCACTTCCATTCCTTTGATAATCTTTTACCTTTCCGAGTATACTCATTATCCAGCTTCGATTTTAAACGATCAATTCGAAATTTTTCTTTCACTCTTATCCTAAAAATAACATCAATTAGAATAAGCAAAATATAATATCAAACTCGAATACATTAAATAATTCGTTATAATTAACTTGTTGTTTTTACATTATTTAGAATTAACGCTTATTTTACTTACCAAGAACACAACCAATACAATTTCGTCTAAATGAATATCTTGGGGAAAGTTAATGTTTCTACAAATTTGTGTACTTTCTATATTGGTGCAAACAAACAATTAATAAAGTAACATTTAATTATATTCAAATTTAAATTAATTAATTAAGTGATTACAATCAATAAACGATTAAAGTTAAAACAGTTAATCTTCAAAACAGTAACAATTAAAAAAATGCATTATTAATCTGTAATACCACTTAAATATTCCGCTGGTATAACATTACAACTTTTAATGTGAACGCTAAGTAACCCTTTAGCAACAAATCCTTTACTACAAAGACTACAAACATATGGACGTTCTCCCGTATGATATCGTTCATGAATAACCAACGTTGATCTTTGGCTAAACGCTTTCGAACAAACTTTACAAACGTAAGGTTTTTCTCCACTATGAACCCTTTCATGCAGAGTTAAGTTGCATTTCTTTGCAAATCCTTTTCCACAAACAGTACACGTATGTGGTTTATAACCGGTATGTACCCGTAAATGTTGTTTTAAATGTTCTCCGCTTGACAATCTCTTTCCACACATATCGCACAAAACTGAACTTTCACCAGTGTGCCCTTTAATGTGTAAAATTAAACTTTTCTTATTCGCAAAATTTTTTCCACACAAATGACATTCGTTGCCTAATGCATTTTCAATTTCTGGATGTTTTGATTTTTTATGTTCATCAAGATTAACTGATGAATCAAAATTTTCGCCGCAAATGTCGCAACAAAATATAGTTGCGGCGTCGTGTATTGATTTGTGTTCCTCTAAATTTGATTTTCCTTCGAATCCTCTCCCGCAAACATCGCATTTAAACAGGCAAGAATCTTCGTGTCCTTGTAAGTGTTGTTTCAAAGATTTCCTAGAATTTGTTTTAAAATCACACAAAATACAATAATATTGATTTTCGGTTGTTGTGTGTGCCAAATGGTTATGAATACAAAGTTGAAAGGCGTCTTTATAAAACTTTTCGCATATAAAACAAGTAAATTTTCTTTCTCCATGGTACCGATCAAAATGTTTTTCGTACGCTTTTAAGGACGTAAATTCCTGATAACATATTGAGCAATTAAAATAGTCCGATTTAGATTTGCATTCAGGTAATTCTAATTTAGCATCTTTTTCTGCTTTATGAACTTCATAGTGATTGATTAATGAGTTTTTTTCTTTAGCTACAAAATTACAAATCATACACGCCCATTTTGGATTGGTGTGCTCAAAATGTTGGTTTTTTCTTCGTCCCAATCTCCAACAATTTTTTTTATAAACAAACGGATTCTTGTATAAGGGATGTCTTGATATTTTCGTACCGGAAGGAGAAGGAGTAGCATCATCTGTGTACTCATCCACACTAAGAGAATGATTATTTTTACCACATAAATCTTTTTGGATCGGGATTATATCGATTTCAGGTAATTTCTTATTCCAAATCGTCTTCTTCGCTCGTCTGCCGTCCGATAATGTAATGAATGGTTGAAAAGCCCTGAAAAGAATTTCTTGTAGTACTTTTTAAAAAGTGATAATTTTGTTAAAAGGATAATAATAAAAATAAATCTAATTTGTTATATTAATTTAATTAAAGATTCAATAACAATTAATTTTATTTCAGATTAATCTAGTTTCAATACAAGTTTCTGGATCATTTTTTTCTTCTTGTTAATTTAATATCTGTTTACTAAGATGTTAAACCATATTAGCGCACAGTTACATTATAAATTATTTATTACAAAAAGTAAATGTTCGTGTAAATAGAATTAAAAAAGAATATATCGCTACTTTTTAATAAAATTAATTAATATGTTCATACCAATCGATCTGATCTGCGCACGTAGTGTTATAAAACACAAACCACATGGGTAGGTACAAGTAGATATCTCTTTGGGTTAGTTTAATAAAGCGATTTGTGATTTATAACTGTTTTCGCGGTGCAGGAAGTGCTTACAACAAATCTCAATATATGCACCACTATCTTGGTTTTGAACAGCAAATCTTAAACATTTTTAATACATGTGTTCAACACACTCCAGGTATTGTTTACATAACAAAATTACACATCGCGTGCTCTCTCACGTACTGCTTTTTTCACAGAGAAATACTAACCAAAAAAAGATATTAGATAATTTCAATCATCTTCTGTTTGAGACCATAAAAAATGTTGAAAACATTGCAACCGTGTAGAAAAAGAAAATTTTACTGATTGCAATTGTAGATGCAGTTGTTATAATATTTTCAAGAATCATTTCTCAAAAAAATGGTTCTTAAAACATTGATCACATTCACTACGTTAACCATGCGATGAATATACTGAAAGAAAAACGGAGCTTTAAAGCTTGAAAAATGCTGGAAAAAAAGATAGCATGAGAAGGTGTCTTATTCCTTCCCTCAAAAGTTAGAAGCAAAGCAGGTAAAGCATTTAAAAATTTTAAAAAATCTCCTGATATAGAATCCCAGATGAACTGCGAACTATACGTTCAAAATTAATATACATATTTTAGCGCCTCGGCGACATTTGAACGACATAGCAGTACTTGCTTAATTCAGCCTAGGCACTGCAATCTAATATCATATCGATTGTAGCTTAACAATATCAGTGACAAAAACAAAATCTATAACTACCTCCAAGATACCGATCAAATGCAAGTTTGTGGTCAATGATAAAATCATACACCAGAAAATAAAATTTAAATACCTGGGTATCGAAATATCTGGATACGGGGATGTTGAGATTTGAACTAAAGCCCGAATTTATAAGACTCCAATTAAATCTATACTAACTTATGCAGCAGCAATCCGACCCGAGACATCCAAAACTGAAAGAATACCAGAAACTACGGAAATGATATTAGTGCGTAGAATAGCTGGAAAAATGTCTGATGGGCAGAGAAAGAACTGAGCACATACAGGATAGATAATATCAGTGACTGGGTACTAAACAGAAAGTATAAATGGAATAAGCACATCGATCGCATAACAGAGCAACGAATTGTCAGAATAATGATTACCAAATCACCAACAGGTAGAGGGAACATTGGAAGATAGACCTAGAAAAAGGTGGAAGGAAAATCTACCAAATATGTAAATAAAGGCAAAAATGTGAAGCAAAAATAATAGAGCTAAGTCTCATATCTATACGAAAGTAATAATAATAATAAAACTCTAAGGCAATTATATCTAGCTTAAGCATCAATTACTAGATGAGAACGTAAGAAATCGTTAAGAAATTAAAACCTAAATCAATATTCCTCAAAATAGAAAAGCATACAATCTCTGGTAGAAACTGAACAATATCAAAGAAACAACAAAAAATCAAAGATACACAATATTCAGTTGCTATAAATGCAAAAAGCACTTATGTTTTAGAACTGTTATGAACTGCCAAATCAATTTTAAGCTTTATAAATTGTTCATTTCACAAATTTCCTTATGGTTGAATTACAATGCGGTTATTTGATTTGTTGAGATTTAATTTATAATTGAACATTACATATTTCCTCAATTAAAATGAAACAAACATTTATAGATACTAGATATCGTTAAATCAGTCTTTGAGGTTGATATTAGCAGTTGTATAAAGTTCTGGTAGTTGCGAAGTTTAATTAAGTTATTAACAGATGATACAACTAGGTAACACTTAATATTGATATCTCGCAACTCTTTCGATAGATTTTGACCATCTATATCACAACGCCCATATTAACCACCAATAATGAACCATATTAATGATTAAGCGTTTCCAATAAAATACTAACGAACAAAATATGTAAAAGTAACTAGTTTTATATTACAGTGTCCTGGTATTATAACATGCTAAGTCAGCGAACAACTCTTATAGCAAGTATTCTATTAAATATTAAATTATCAAATTTTGTATTAATTGTTCAAAATCAAGATAATGATTTAGCAACAAATCTCATTTGGTTTGAACATACTTTAATAGCCTTTACAATTTTTAAAGTGAATATTTAGCAGCGATCTAGCAACAAAACCTTTATTACATATATGACATACATACGGTCGTTCACCTGTATGAGTTCGAATATGAATCACCAAACTCGATCGTTGCGAAAACGATTTATGACAATAACTACAATTATACGGTTTTTCACCAGTGTGAATTCGTTCATGTTCTATTAATATAGGTTTTTTTGTAAAACATTTCTCGCAAAATTTACACTTAAACGGTTTATAACCGGTGTGTGTTCTCATATGAAACTTTAATTTTTCTGTACTTGATAATTGTTTTCCACATATATCGCATATCGCTACGTTTCCAGTATGGGAATTCATGTGTACTTTTAAACTGTTTTTGTGTTGGTATTGTTTATTACACAGAGGACATTCGTAGGTGCTAGCCTCACCAGTAATTTCTAATTTGTGCATACTGGTTTTGTGCGCTGCCAAATATCTTGAATAAATGAATGATTTGCCACAAAATTCACATGTAAACGGTTTTTTACCCGTATGCAAATTATCGTGTTCCTCAAACCACGTTAAAACATCAAAACCTTTATTGCATATTTTACAAGTGTATCTAAACTTGTCGTGGAAACTGTGTAAATGTTGCGATATATCATTCACATCAGATGTTTCATAATCACAGTAAACGCATTTAAATTTATTGTCCGGACAATGTTTTCGACAATGCAACACATAATCAATGTCCTTCTTAAATGTTAAATGACAATCAACACAAAGAAACGTGTTGTTATGAGTCGTCATGTGCACTTGTAAACTGTGGGATAATTTAAACTTTTTTGAACATATTTCGCAACTAAACATTCTTGCTAATCTTATACTTCTTGGCACTCGAACATCTTTATGATGCAATCCATAATGTTGTATCACCTCTTTTTTTGAAAATATTTTCTCTGTTTTACACAATTTACATTTAAATAGTAAATCGTCACATTTTATTAACTGCTTTTTATCTAATGTTTCGTTATCACCATACACAATCTTCATATTTTCATTATGTTCTGACACCTTTATTGGTTTCTTCATTTTTCTTTTATTTGGTTTAGCATATTCGGCCTGGTCTTCTATTGATATATTTGTAGAATGTAAGTCACACCTAAAAACGGTTCGTATAAATTATGTTGCATTGATTCTTATCGGGAAAATTCAAATTTGGAACTAAAACAGAAATTAAAATAAGCGATTAAAACAACACCAATTAATGTTAAAATATATTTTATTAATTATAAAGTGGTAAATTGACTATTCTTCAATTTTCATTTTACAGAATGAAATTTTTGCGAATGTAAATACAAACCATAGTCAGTAGTAAACCTAGATGCACACAACATACAATAATACTCTTTATGATTTATCCTATAATGTTGCTGGACATTAAATTTAGTACATAACGGCTCTTGACATATGGTACAAGTTACTTGATTGATTTTGTGTTTGGTAAGGTTTATAATGTGTTTGTTACAAAAATTACAAAAATGTTGTTGGCGAGTATGATTTTTCAAATGTTGCAATGAAGGAGATTCTTCGTTACACAAAACACAAGTTAACTTTTCACGGACGCAAGACTTACATAATACTTTTCCTTCTAACACTATAGAGTTTTTAAGATCAAAATCAATTTTACAATATGCACATTTTACAGAAATATATAAAGGAGTGCAAACGACGCATGTAGGACATACATTACTTTCATTTAACGATACAGCAGATGTTTTACATTTTACACAAATTTTCGTTTGTAATGGAGTAACAACAATACAATCTTCATCATCAGAGTCAACTATTTCAATAACGTTAGATTGACATTGATCTATAGAATCAGGGTTTCTAACAATATTTTGAGAATTATCATATTTATCGAACTTAATATCATTACAAACAATTTCGATGTTTTCTAAGGAAGTATCGCAACATTGTTGATTTTCTTCACCATCAAGATGAGCTTTAGATGAACTGTCATTTTGCATAGTAAGTTTATGCATTTGAATATGAATTTTGTATTGATGACTATTCATAAAAACTTTCCCACATTCATTACATTTAGACACTTCCAACGAATCATTTTGCTCTAATTCTGAGGAATCACTTGGTCTAGATCTTTTGATAAAATCATCAATATTAAACGCACATTCATCACTCTCTTGCTCCAAGGAATCACATAGATTTACATTAGTATCCCCGAATGAAACCGTTGGTTCACTCTTCGTAATCCTGAAACATATTTTATTAGATTTTGTTATGATTATAATTTTTAAATAAGTATACATACATTGAAAAAACTAGTAAACAAAATTAGGGAGATACTCCAACTTATTAGTGGAAAGACAAGATTAATGCACAATATGTAACAATAATTAATTTATCGCATAAAATTTATTCCCAACATCAGTTGGTAACAATTGAAACATAGACCGCAATCGGTCTCAATTTATTCTGAACATATTGCAAACTGTAATAATATAAAACTGAATAAGCAAATTGACTAGGATTTTTACCTTTCCTATAACTTGATCACATTTGTTGGCTTCGAAAGATTCGTCGCAACATTCGTTTTTGTACCATTGTTTCACGGTCACTACTAGCATATTTCACACAATATTCTATTTTGACCTTTGAAATTCTTCCATTAATTCCATCGAAATTATCTTCATACTATGCCTCAAAGTCAAAAATTAAGCATCACACATTTTGCAATTATTCGATTTTATGAAGCCATCTAAGATTTTGTTGCTTACTTCCTTATCACACAACCAATAATCAAGAAAGGTGAATAGCCTAGTTTTGACCATGAACCATCACCAGCAACAGTAACTTCTTTTGTAGATGTAGAAAAGTCTTTGTTTATGAACATTCTTCCTTTAAGTGCTTTTTCATACATCAAACATTACTCTTACAACACTAGTATGTTCTGAACATATATTATATATCCCAATACCAATTAATTCCAGAGCAAATTACCAACTAAAAGCAATGATTTAAGAGTAATGAAGATAAAACTGGTAGAAATATGGACAAAAGTTATATGTAGTTTAGAAGATAATAGAACCCAAGTTAGCTAATTATATAACCCAAAGATCTACATATTTTCTGTATTAATTGATCAATGTGAAATTGAATATTTTACAGCGCTTCCGTTGCAAGCAACCTCGGGTTCAATATTTCATCCTGAAAGAATAAGTAGGTATAATGAGTACAGTAGATTAATGAACTGAAATGCTCCTTAATACCGAATTGGTGTGAAGGTAATTATGATGCCACTGTTCGATGCTTAATATTTATTACAATAAATTACATAAAATATTACTAATTATATATTTATTTAGTACAATATCTACACGATGCATTTTGTAAATCGCACATTACGTCAATCAGCATAAGTAAGTAAATTATTTTAACATTGCTGGTTTAATGTATTTCCTCATTATACACCCTGGATTATTTGATTTTCGTTCCTTATGATTTACTGATAAAGATTCTGTTATTCCCATTTTATTATCTTCAGTGTCGCTATCAGAATCAAGTATTTCAATAATATCAGATTTAAATTGGCTGTCAGCGGTGTCGTCAGAAAGTTCACACATATCAAATGCAATATCATTATAAGTAACTTTAATCTCATCATCTGGAGATTTTGAAAGATGAGAATTATCCAAGTCTTGGAATAAACGCATTGGAAATTCTGTTTGTGACCTGAAATCACGTTTATTTTTGAAAGTAGTTGCGTCGTATGTTTTACAATTTGGAAATCTTTTTGAAAAACATATCATATTTGGTTTTAATTTAATGAGTTTTCGTGATAGTTCTTCACGTTTACGTTTCAAACGTTCCTTTGCGTTCCTTATGTTTACAGTATATTTCCTTTCACTTTCATTGTTTAATAGGATTAATGGTTGGTTGTTACAGTTAGATGTAGTAACATAAATCCTATGTTGTGTTTGTTGTAACGAATGATTTATTTTCTTCGGCCTAAAAAAGCCTTTATTAAAATTCAGAAAAATGTTAATATTTATTCATGTATATAAATTGCAACATAAAAAATAATTTATATTAATAACATATTTATTACGTTTATTGAAAACATAAGTTAAAATTTTATACATAACTTAAAATATATTTATTATTTAATAATATTCTTACAGTGTACGTACACATCCTTAAATACTAGAATTTAAATCTGAAGTACTATCAGAAACTTCTATCTTTGAATGAGTAGCAATATGTCGTTTAAAATAATATTCATCAGCAAATGACCGGCCACATATTGCACATCGATGTCTTATACCCATATGTCTATTTTTGTAATGATTCCTAAATTCTCTAAGAGTGTAGAAACCTTTATTGCACACGTCACATCTATGTCTAAATTGATCTAAATGCCTCAGCATGTGTTCTTTCACATTTTTCTCATACATAAAAGTTCTAAAACAAAAGGTACATATTGCGCGATCAGTATGGGCTGTGACGTAGTGATCGTAAAATTCACTGTTTCTTTCGAAAATTGCCGGACACACATCACAGTTGTTCACAAAACATTTTCCTTTTTCAATATGCCTCAAGAACACAAACTTGCTTATAAATAATTGTTCGCACCGCAAACATTTGTAATGAACAACATCGACATCAGAATTAGGGGTTAATACTACATAATTTGATGCAGAAAAATCGGGTACTTCATGTCTTCTTTTTGGAGCCGGTTGTCGACCCTTTGATGCGACATAATTTCTTTTTTTCTTTGAATCTGCGGAATTAGTTAAATCTTGTTGCGGTGACATCATATAAACATGATCCGTATGTACTACTACCGCATTGTCTGAACTACTTTTACTAGTTTTCTGCCCATCTTGTTGATTTGTTTCTTCGATTACAACTTCATTAACACAAGATGAATCGTCTAAAATATACACCAAATCATTTGTAGTTGGATCAACAATTACTTCATCGCTAGGGATATTTAGGACTGCTTCCACATTTTCATTATATTGTTCAAATTGAATTTCACCAGGTTCAACTACAATATTTTCCATACTGTGCGTTTGTTGATGTTCAACTAAATCATCCATTGAAAGAAAAATAGCATCGCAAACGCAGCACAACAGACCACACACATCTTCCTTTGTGTAATGGCTGAGAAAAGCATTTTCTGTGGGAAATACCTCAACGCACAATTCGCATTCATATCCAGTGGCAATACTACCATCGTCAGATTGATCACATCTGCAAAATTAAATTATTCTGTAACTTTTGTATTAATCGTACGTTTGCGATGAAAACAAATAACTGCTTTGGAGACGGCTAAGACGGGGAAAACAAACATAAAAAATTCGACGATTAATCAACGGAAAGAATTTTATTACTTAAACTGAAATATGAACAAAAATAAGTATAATTTAAAAATTTTATAATTAATAAATTATTGAATTAAATCTATATTCCTAGAGTATAAAAGTACGTTTTTACGTTATAAAAAAATCAATTTATTTGAACGAATCACTTAATGACTATTTGAATGCGTTTTCATTGCAGATTTAGTAACAAATCCTTTATTACAAACATTACAGACATAGGGTCGTTCCCCAGTATGGTATCTAGTATGAATTTTGAGGCTACCACACTGACTGAATCCTTTACCACATATTTTACATATATAAGGTTTTTCTTTTGTATGAGTTCGTTCGTGATCTTTAACTCTACCCTTATCCACAAATGTTTTATCACAAAATCTACACACCTCCGGCTTTTCGCCAGTGTGTAAACGTTTATGAATAACTAGAGATTTTGTAGAAGACAACTTTTTTCCACAAATTTCGCAAACGTACTTAGCACTAGTACCATTATGAATTGTCATATGTTTATAAAGTGACACTGCCGAACTTAAACTCTTTGAACAAACTGAACACACATGATCTGTTTTCACATAATCTGGTTCATGAATTCTCATGTGCTGCTTAAAATACTGTTCGTTTCTGTAAACTTTTTTACAATGTGCACAATAATACCTAACACCTTTATGCACAGTTTTCGTGTGTTCATGCAATGCCTTTTCCGTTGTATATCCTTTATCACACTGATCACATTGGAATTCAATTTCATTAGTGT